AAGATTATCGGATACGCATGCCTGACGAGCGGCAAGAACCGCGAAACCGGTCGTGTGCTTCCAGGGAAATTTTTTCCAGTAATTCACATACAACTTATTATCAAATATATATATATATATATATATACCAATCTTTAAAGATAATGTGACTGATCTTTAATCGTGGGTGTGCAGGCGTGTGATCAATGATTTTTTGCTATTGGTCCAAGTATCTCTGTAGGACCTAAAATATTCTGCCACTGAGACCTAGGAACGTTATGATACCTTAGCAATCGTTATAGAATGTTTCGCGAGAATTAAAGCCTCCAAATTGATCAAAGGTTTACTTCAACTGTTCTGTTCAGAGATGCACATTGAATCCTGGCAACGAAGAAACTCACCTTTATATAGCATTACTCGAACGCCTTCCAAAAGTTACTCTAATGTGATGCTCATGTCCAAAAGGATTAACAGAAAACCACGTGTATACAATACCAAAAGAAGTTCATCGAAGCTGAGTGTTTAAACCCATTGCAGAGACAGAGCTATTTTCTCTTAGCTCTATTCCGCTCTTTCCGTCAGAAATTTTCACATCCAACGTGTTCTGTTTTTTGCTAAGACAAATTTTGCTTGATTTGTCATACACACACATACACACGCGTACCTTAAAGACACTGATGTCTCAAAAACAAATGGACAATTGAGGGATAACCTTGGGACATCACTTACCTTTACTTAATTGGGATTCAAATTCATGGTTGTTTATTTCTTCAGACATGGCAAAACCTGGAAAGCAAGGAGGAATGGTTTATCAAGCTGCGACAGTTTGATAATGGTATGCGATGCGAACCAGTAGAATAAGTGAGAACACACGTTCAGAGGCGAACAGTTGTTTGCATGGGTTTATCTTCTGGCCTGTACAGGTCATACTAGGAAATGGCATGTTAAACGAGGACAGACATTCATTCATTCAAAAATCACGGTGACTGGTTGAGAGGGAGAGAGATGTGAGGTGAGTGCGACGTACTTCACACCAAGAGGCCGCCATAACACTGTCATCGGGTTGTGATGCGTCATCCGAGCGATCGACTTCCAGACGCGGCAGCTGACTGGCATGGGTCAATCATTTTGTGCACAGATTTGATGTAGTCAAACGAATACCAATCGATTATGCCGTTGCTAGGGTGTGGAGACGCATGTGGTGGTGGTACTGGATTAATAAATTTGAGGGCTGATTCAGGCTTCAATTGGTGACCTGAGTCTGCTAGATGAGCGAGAATAGCGCTTCCTGTGACACTTTTTTCACCGTGTTGAAGGCGGCGTGGACAGTGTTTTTTTAATCCGCTGAGACAGTTTCCAGTCTCCGTCTGTACAACCATTAACCATGCACTTTCGTGAGCCGGTTTTGGTTGCTGTATTTTGGCTACCCACTTGGATGAAGCAGTAGGAAAAAACAATCAGGACGAAAGTAAGATTGAAGAAAAAATTGAGAACTCCAATAAACTATGGCTTCCAAGAGATTGAGATGCACAAACGCTACTGTTTACGACACGCAGACATGTCACTCAGTGTCTCTAACCATCGGGTACGATCATCCTGAGGTCCCCATCAAGGGAGCCTAACGGGACCTATGTTACCCAGTTTCCTGGTCAGGGGTTTTATGCCCTAGAGCTGGGACAGTTGCCTCGCAGTTCGGCCAATGTAGGTTGCGTCACAAATGCAGCTGAAGCAATAGATCACCATAGATCAGGCCAGCGTAAATAAACTGTCTTCACTGGATATTCTCATCATTGGTGACCCTGTGATTACGTATGACAAACTGGCTGCATTCAACGTTCTTCTTACAGCATGAGCCAAACATCTCCCGATCAGATCCAACAGGTTGTCTCCTTTGAACGGCGGTTTACTAAACAGCTTCCCGAGCAGGATTGTGTTTCGGTCTTTTTTTTAGATTTCTTTCGATGAACCTTTCAGGGTATCTGTTTCCCTTATGTATGTGTATGGGATAGGTTGACGTATGTTCAAGGACTGGACACATGTGCGTGATGAAAGTACTCGCATATGTAGCTCCTTTGGATGGCATGTACAGAAACGCAGCAATTAATGCAGTTCAGTTTGCACCGGGACGTAAAGGAAAGAAAGAGTTGACCTGGGCCTGAAGCATTATTCGCGGGTTTTTTTGGAGCCTGCTATGTACCGTGGCCTGTGGT